ATCGTTCGTAATCTCCAAAGTATTTTGCTCATGAGGGGAGCCTCCACCCGATTTTTGCTGCTTCATTTTGTGTTTCTTAACAACTGAGGGAGCAAGAGCAAATGTAGGAGACTCCACTGTAATGAACTCGTCCTCCTCCTCGTCATTGGAATCAACATCTGCAATAGAGTTCTTTTTTTTGTGTTGTAAATCATTGTTCAATGAAGGGTTTGCAGTATTGTTGTGAATATTGATTCCAATATTCGTTGTTGCATTTGGCGATAAAAGTGTGGACAAGGCTGACGATGTTGATCCACTTTTTCTTAGTTTTTTTCTTTCGCTCTCCTGTTGGTGTGTTTGAAAGAGGGTTTGAGGCATTTGTCTGTAGTGCCAATGGCGGTGGTGGTGACACTTCCAATTTATTGTCCAAATTGGTGGCCACCATTGCATTGGACGAACTCTTTTGTTTGAGAGGTGTGAATTCGGAAGAGTACTCTTTCAATGAGGAAGGTTGTTGAGGAGGTTGTTGATGACCATTACTATTGAGATTATGAGAAAACTTGGAATAGAGAGAGCTTGAATCGTCAAGATCATCCTCTCTCAAAATTGCTCCACTACTGCTGTTCATGACATTCGCAATACTGTTGCTACTATTACTACTACTGGTACTACTATTGGTGACAATGGATGCATAGCTCAAACGAGACGAAATTGAAACATTTTGGGCCGAGGATGTGTTCAAGGTTGTTGTTGTTGTTGCACCTCTATTCGAGCAATTACTCCACCATTACCAACAAAGGTGTTACTGGGAGGTTGAAAATTGAACATGTTGTTTCCAGAGGAAGAAGGTGTCTGAATGGGAGATGGAGGTGGCTTCCGAAGGGTGGTAGAAGTTGGTGTCGTCGGGAAATGCTGTTGAAAGTTTGATGTTGGAGTTGGTGGAGAGTGTTTTAGAACACCACCCCGCTTGCTTCCAGTGGCATTATTCGAAGAGATTGGAATGGATGGTCGGTTGTTGTTGAAATTATTGTTGAGCGGAGTGTGTTGTGAATGTTGATCAGACATTTCTCATGCAGGGGTTGTTGAAATCAAATTCAAACTGCAATCGCAGTGGTACTAGATGTGTGTGGCGAAAATTAATTGTTTCAAAATGATTGAATGACTCAGTCAAAATCGACTCGGTTGATCGGGTTGATGGATCCTATTCGGGGAAGAAATCAGAATGCGAATTGTGGTTATACTTTACAATTTGGTGCTATCGGAATAAA